CCAGGTACAAGATCAATATCAAATTCAACTTCCCTCTCTAGAGGTACATCAGGAGTTTCATCAGGGAAAACTTTGGGAAATTCATGCACCACCTGCAATTCCTCAATTATAGCTTGATTCTCGACAGATAGCGACGCCATCAATGAGAGCATATGCGCTTCTTCTTGCATCAAATTCCTCAACTATCTAGCAGACAACGGACTATCTTCGTCTTCTTTAGGAGTAGAAAACCTCACAGACTTGTCATAAAAGTTAATATGAACATAGTTATGCTCTAACCAGTTCATACCCAAAATTACATCTAACCCTCTTAACGGAAAACAAACCAAATCAATAGCAAAGTCTCTATCGAAAATCGACAAAGGACACTTTAAACACACAAAAGAAGTAGTCACCGACCCCTTGGCTGGAGTGTCGACGGCCATCTCTCCATTCAAAGAAGACAACACGAGGCCCAATATTTTAACACAATCAGCAGCAATAAAGCAATGAGCAGCATCGGTATCAATAATAGTAATTAAAGGAGTACCATTAATGAAACATGTACCTCTGATAAGTTTGTCTTCAACAGCTGCCTGATCCTCAACCAAAGCGAACACTTTACCACTTGTTTGTGCCCTCTTTAGTTTCTGAAACTGACTACCAATGTGCCCTTCTTCACCATAATTAAAACAAATCACCTTCTTATGCTTGCACTCAGATACAACATGTCCAGTCTTACCACAACGGAAACACCTATTTACCTCAACAGTACACACATTAATCTTATGCCCAAGTTTTCCACATTTGAAACAAACCACACCAGCAGGAGCATCTCCCCCACTAGTCTTCTGACCCTGAGCAGCTTTCTGTTTACCTTTACTAGCTGGGGTATCATAAGGCTTACCACGATTTTGTTGGTGCTTACCCCTTTTATCATTGATAATCTTGTAATGAGCATTATTATCCTCTTCATAGATTCTGCAACTATCAATCAAATCAGCAAATACACGAATCTTATGGTATCTAATTGCCTTCTTGATCTCCAGGCGCAACCCATTCTCAACCTTGATTCACTTCGAAAACTCAACATTTGCCTCACCGTAGTGCGGATAAAACTTAGCCAACTCATTAAACTTTACGGCATACTCAACAACCAACATACTCCCTTGCTTTAGCTCAAGAAACTAAATCTGCTTCTTACCACGAACGTCTTCAAGAAAGTACTTCCTCAGAAGTTCCCTACAGAACACAGCCCAAGTGACATTTTCACCTGCAACTTCCAACCTCTGACACGTCTCTAGCCACCAGTCATCAGCTTTGACTTGCTAGCATATGAGTACCATACTGAACCTTCTGCGTTGGAGTGCAGTCCATCACACGGAAGATTCTCTCAATCTCTTTCAACCAATCCAATACTCCTCTAGGATCATACTTGCCCTTGAATGTAGGCAGATTCTCTCTCTGGAAAGTTTCCAAACTACGAGGTCTAGCATTCCCGTCAGTATTCGGCTGATTCTCCATCGCATGCGTCATTCCTTCTAAAGCAGCAGAAAGTGAAGCATCATTCCTTCCAGACATCTCAACTTATCTCTACAACATAAACAAAGGTTAGAACTCAAATTAACAATACTCGATTCTTAGACAACTACGACTCGACAGCATGGTCGGGCGGACCAACTATTGCTCTAATTCCAACTTTGTAACACCCTAATTCTACCCGACAATTATAAATGTAAATCAGAGTTATAAAATTCATACAACTGAATCAGGATGCCACAAATTCAATTTAAAAACACATTGCATTCAACATGGATACATAACACTTTTAAACTTCGGAGGAACCAACAGCAAAATAATTTAATCTCTTAATTCAACAACTTGAACAACTACGCAACGGAATCATAATAACATCTTTGTCCAACATTACAGCAACTTCAAAATAACACATACTAGAAACAATCAAATTAAAGTTCAACAACTGAAATAATCAATAACTAAAAGAAACAAGCGTCCATCCCCCCGAGTGTTACGTATCAGAGCAATGACACCGACTCAAACTACTTAAGGTATACTACCTTCACTCTGGATTATTTGCATGTTACCAATGCAAGGATAACATTCAAACAGAAGGGGTGAGATGTCTAACAATATAATAAAAGGTATGATAAATAATATGTTAGATCAACACATATAATAACATCACTTCACATCTCATAAGCAACAATAATCGCAACAAAATACCAACAATATACACATTTACCGCGTCATTACACAACTTATTTACGCAATCGTATAATGTGACTCAATACTATGAAAATGCATGTGGTACCATTGGAGCAGAACTCCCATATCAAAATAATTACCAATAAATAGAGGCATCAACAAGGCATAAGCCTTCATCTTAATATTCGCCAATACAGGCCATCTTCATCGGCTGTTTCTCAACCAAATCTCATTTTGAAGAAAATAAAATTCTCTACAACTTTTTCTCTCTAAGCTCAAATCCAAAAAATGCTTCATTTGAGAGATATGGGCCAAAACATTATAGGTCATTTCAAAAGTCAACAAAAAGACACTTTTTTACAAGGCAACTTACATCAAGATAAATTCTTCAAATGAAAAAAATGATCAACATAGAGACTGTAGGGGGCATCTTGAGCTTTCAAAAAAGTTAAAGATTGACTTCATATGATAAAAACTGAGAGAGTTATGATTGACACAAGTTGGGAAATTTCGAGAAAATGCATGAAATCCAAATTGATCAAACTCGAATTTTTAGGCTAATGGACTTGTGTTTCAAGTTTCAAACGTGTATTAGGCCTCATAGTGAACCTATGAACCTATTCATACACCTCTTTGGCTTTTATTCCATTTATTTTTGATTTTATTTATTTAAATTCAAAATAAATTAAATAAAATCTAGGCTTTCATACAAAGGTCCAAGCCTACTTCTTTTGACCTAATTTTCCTCTCTCATATATATATATATATATATATATATATATATATATATATATATATATATATATATATATATATATATATATATATATATATATATATATATATATATATATATATATATATATATATATATATATATATATATCCCATATTCAGACAACAACAAGGACACGAAAAACTTGGCAAGAGATCACTATTCCAAAAAACTCTAAAATTATCTAAAACTAGGGAAAACTTCAAATCCTATTTTCAGCCACTCTCCAAGCAAGTCAATCATCCAAATCAATCCCTGAGGAATTGTACAGTAAGAATGGATCAATCTTGATGATCCAAAGGGCCTGGAAATCGTATACATTCATCTTCAGTTTCCTTTTTTTGTTTGTAATTTGTATTTTAGTTTTCATGTTATTTTAAAGCATACTAACATTACTAACATGCATCTAAGGTATAACTATGCAGGATAAATCCTATTTTCTTTTGATACTTCTTCTCCTATCTATTTTTTTTGGCAAGCCATGTTGTTGTGAAGGCAAAGGACATGAGTTCAACACCCACCCGTGGTGTTTGCACTATTTTTGTTTTCTAACCATATTTTTCATTGATGCTTCTTCCCCAATCTATTTTTTGGCAAACTTAATTCATTTTTTATATTTATCATTAAACATAAACCTTATTTTTTTATTAATTAAAATTAATTAGGTTTTAGGTTTTTTTAATTAATTTTTTTTCAAAATTAACCTTTTTTTATTAATTAAAATTAATTAGGTTTTAGGTTTTTTTAATTAACTTTTTTTCAAAATTAACCTTTTTTTATTAATTAAAATTAATTAGGTTTTAGATTTTTTTAATTAACTTTTTTTCAAAATTAACCTTTTTTTATTAATTAAAATTAATTAGGTTTTAGGTTTTTTAATTAACTTATTTTTCAAAATTAACATTTTTTAATTAAAATTAATTAGGTTTTAGGTTTTTTAATTAACTTTTTTTCAAAATTAATTAGTTTTTTTAGGTTTATTTAATTAATTATCATAAATCATTTTTTCATAAAAAATCACCAAAATATTTTCTTTGTTATTTTCATCTTATTTTTATTTTCCTAGATAAAGTGTATAAGGCGCGTTCAACTGTAATATCGTTGTTTTATTTTTTTCCGCATTTTTCTATTATGTAACTGCTCCTTGTATGTAATGGTTATAGGTTTTTATTTTTCGCACTTCATTATTATGTAACTGCCCCAAAGCTCTGTAATAGCCTAGGTTTATATTTCCGCATTTACCTTCTGCTACTATATTTTATGCAATTGTTAGTAATTAGAGTTTGTATGGCAAGATAAAAACGAACGATAGAAAATCTTAATCTCAAAATAAATAACTGAATTGAACAAATTTGCCCACTTGTACCTCTAGCGTAACCTCTCTTCGTTGCCTTCGAAATAACGGTCATGTCCCTCGAAAGCAGGGATGCTTTAGCAAAGTCCCTCGAATAAAAGATCATAGTCCCTCGATGATCCTTCGACGTTTTCTTTCGAAAAATGATCTAGTCCTTTACGAAACTGCTAAAGCATCCTTACAAGTTGCCTTCGATGATCGTACGATGACCCTTCACATCCAATAGATGGGGCTACCTACCAACTAATGGTACAGATAACACTATCTCTAAAGGAGGAGGAAAATAACAAGAACGACCTTGAGTGGGTAGGATACTTTTTATCGCTTTATCACAAATTTTTCTCATGAATACTTTTCAAACATAACTTTCAAAACAACGAATATTTTCAAAACAATTTGTATGCATTCTTGAGGACTGATACAAGAGTCATTACAAAGTTCGCCTTACATTGGTATTTTCAAAATATTTTCAAACAAATCAAACAAAAAAAAGCAAGTTTTCAAAGTGAGTTAAGCGATTAAGAGCCCGTAGATAACCACAGATGAAAAGGGTTCTAACACATTCCCTTTTCATAACCTATCCTCCGAACTCAAAATCTTCAAGGTCTTTCCTGTTCTTTTTACCCTTTCCTTATTGGATAAAAGAAAAGTCAATGGCGACTCTTGCTATCCGAAACATCTACGATAAAACACAAAACAAGTTAGTTCTCCTACCGTATTACAATATGCAATGCCAATGTCCCTCGTGTTCGACTCAACCGATCCTTGTAGAACCATACACCACTCCTAATGATAACTATATCATATAGAAAATAGAAACAATTTTATACACAATGAAACAAAGCAAAAACACTGAGACGATACATGAACCAATGTAATGGTTATATTCATCCAGAGTTTAATATTTTACCACATGACCTTCAACAAAGATGATATAGATTGGATATCTCACATTTGATTCATAGAATGGGCCTCCCTAACAGATATGCATATTCATCAGCTTATTTATTATCTTCTTTCAACTTTTCTAAAGATGATATATGTATTCCATTTTTGTATGATATATAGTAAATAGAAACTCTTACACACAATACCTAATAGCTGGCACACACCTTTTATCCATCAATTGCAAATAAAGAATCATCTAACGATGATAAAGGCTCTGCTAAAATGTATAGTAAAGTATGAAAAGGAATTAAATCACAATGATACGAAGTGTTTGTATCACACATATTAACAGGAACTTACTATAACAATTCAATTGGAAAACAGAGTTCAAATATTTTCTTTAAAAAAATCTACAAAAGAATAATGTGAATAAAGAAGAGATGGAGAGAAGAGACCTTAGTGTCACGTAATTAATGACGAATTTGCAGGTTCCTTCCTGGAGAATAACACGAGCGTGACAGTTTTTCGGCAACCGGTGCCAAAGATAGTCTGAGCTGCAAATCCACTTCAAGTCAATGATTTCTGATTCGACGGGAGGAGCGAGTGATGTTGTGGATACGGTTAGGGAGGGGAGTTTGGAAGAGCGATAGAGGGAGAAGGTTATGGGGAGAGAAAAACAGGTTGGTTTGCGAGAGATATTGGAAGAAAAGGAAAGTGAAGAGAGGGAAGATGTGAGAAAAGATAAGGAAACTGCCATGGTATGTTATAGTGGAATGATGAGAACTGGAAACAAATTGAAGATGACAGAGTGTGGTTTTGTAACCGCTGTTATCCATCCAATAGTAAATGTTTAAGAAAATAATAATAAAAAAGGAAAAGGAAACAAATGAGAAATGAATGAGACGTATGGCAATATAGGATTGAGAGAGAAGCAAAAGTACGACAAGCCAGTGGCAAAAGGAATCCTTCCAATCCACTGGTGGTTGAAGCAATTATAGTTTTGATTATGAGGTGGCCAATGGCCATGTTATTTTAACAACTCTATAAACTTGTCTACCACATCTTCTCTACGTTTCTATGATGTGCGTCGGTTATCAATACACTTCAAAATTTAAAATGGGATCTTATCAAAAAGAATTTGATATTAAAGGACAAAAGTAATATAAATTTAAAATATAACAATAAAATAAATAAATTTATTAATTATTTATGTATTTTTTTACCATTATAAATATAAAATATAAGTAATTTAGGAAGTATGTATATCGTAATAATTAGAGGTTTAAATTAAAAGAGAAAAAATTGCATCAATAATTGAAAATAATATTTAGAGTGAAGTTTATTCGTCCCTGAGAAATATGTTGAATACCAATTTAATTCCTTAGAAAAATAAAACTAAAAATTAATCCACGAGAAAAACAAATATGAACAATTTAGTTCATACCTTAAGTCAAGTGATTCCATTGAAATACTTATTATAACTTTTTATTATGTTTTGTAATAATTTCATTTTAAAAATATTTATATCATTTTACAAATATATATATTTTTTCTCATACCGAACTATTAAATAATTTTAAAAAAATCTCATTTTCTTTCGTTTGTCTTTTTGTCATTAACCAAACAAAGTATAGTATATGTAAAAAACTAAAGTGTTCTGATTTATTTTTTTAACAATTATTTTTTCACAAATTAATTAATAACGAAAATAAATATTCATTCTAATATTTATTTAAAACAAAATCATTTATTAAAATGATATTATTTAAAAAAATGTTAAGTATTTAGTTGTAATAAACTTGTTTTATAAATTAATTCTTTAATTAATTTTTTAAAATTTCAAACAAATTTGATATTGTTATGTATCTAACAATCTCTTAAAAATTTAAAAATTATAATTTAAAGTTTGATTCAAGTTTTATCATCTATTCTGATGAGAATATCCAAATTCAGTCCTTTCACATATACTACCTGTCCAATTATACACTTGTAATTGTTAATATGCTTTAGGAACTCGTCAATCATTTTATTTTAGGCTCTTTGAACTTGTCTCAGGTCATAGAGATCATATTAAACTTAAAGACTTATCTTCTTCACACATTTCACAATGAATTTCTAAAATTCAATATAAACTTAGAGTCATTAAGAAATGCATTTTTGGCTAATATTCCATTTCAAGAAGTTATTCACATCTACAACTAATTCTACTTTCTTAGTTCTTGCAACCAGTCGAAATTTCTTGTGAAATTGAGGTCGGAATTTTTTCGGAAATTCCTTTGCAACAAGTCTTACCTTATGGTTGATTGGTTTTGTAAAATTGAGAAGATAAAAATCAACGAATAAGACTAAAGACATTATGTCTTCCCTATGGTGTGATTATTCGGTCGAGGATAACACCATATTCTTAGACTTCTAGTTATGAATGGATCTAATCCTCTCATGTATTTTTGCTTGCACTACTACTTGAGCAATTCCTCTTTAAGAAATATGACATTTACCATGGTTTCATGGAATACAAATTATGATTCTATGTGTAGTGCAAGTTAATGAATTATGTGGTTTTAATAATGAGAAAAGAGAAAAGGGAAGTTTATGATAAGAATCATGAGACAAAAGCTATCAATAAGCGTAGGATCAAGGTTTCAATGATTAGAGAAAATATGTTAAGTAAAATTCAAATATCAACATCAAAATGAACCGAAAATGTGAAAGCTCATTTGGTCCTAAATTTTAGTGGTTTATTACATTTTGACCAGTAATATGTAAAATAAATGATAGTAATTATTGAAGTACTAAAGCATGTCAAGGTCCACAAGTTTTAAGTTAAGCAGTGGTTAAATTTGAAGTGACGGGGGTATTTGTAAGATGGTCTGATGCTAAAGTGAGAGTCTAGACAATCAGAATGCAAGTAACAGAAGTGAGGTAGAATGAGTGAATGAATGAATACATGAGCCTATCGAGTGAGAGGGTTTATATAGCCCTTAGCATTGGGTCAAGATCTTCAGTGTTAGGCTACGATGAGGCCCAATAATGAACACTGCCAGGGTTTACGAATGTATGGATTCCAACATGTGGCCTCCTCCCTGATCAATTGTCCCGAGAAAGTAGGGAAGTTTGACCCGTTCTTCTCGGAGGGAAGGATGATGACTTTGTGGACACGTGGCTCATGCTCTTCTAGTGGACACGTGGGAAAATGTTCAACGATCCTCAGTTTGGGCTGCATGCTTTTGCGTCTTTGTAAAGACGCTGGATTGAGTCTCCCCAATGGTGGGGAAAATGTAGGACCATTCCAAAACAGGAGCCCCCAAGTTATTTCCCTTAGGCGAAAGGGTGATGACTTGAGATCAGTTCGAGTGTCGGGGAAGTTATTTCCCTATGGTGTGATTATCCTGTCGAGGATAACACCATATTCTTAGACTTCTAGTTATGAATCTAATCCTCTCATGTATTTTTGCTTGCACTACTACTTGAGCAATTCTTCTTTAAGAAATATGACATTTACCATGGTTTCATGGAATACAAATTATGATTCTATGTGTAGTGCAAGTTAATGAATTATGTGGTTATAATAATGAAAAAAGAGAAAAGGGAAGTTTATGATAAGAATCATCAGACAAAAGCTATATGTGATCGGTGGGAATGAGAACTGACTGTTTTGGAATGTTGGTTCGCGTTTGTTTTTGCAAAATGTCGCGGTAAGCAAGAGTCGAGTCGCCGCCGTCTTTTATTTTATCCAACAAGGAAAGGACAAAAGCACAGAAAAATTCCTTTTTTGAGATATTTCTCGGGTTCGGGAGGTAGATTATAGAAAGGGAAGGTGTTAGCACCCTAGCACCCTTTCTATCTGTGGTTATCCACGGACTCTTAGGTACTTGCTCATTGTGTTTTCAAAAGTTTTCTTTTCTTTGTGTTTGTGGGTTTGAAAAGAGTTTTTGTTTGAAAGGAGTGTAAGTGTGAAAAGTTTTGTTTTGTTTTAAAAGGAGCAAGTACTTTAAGAACCATCTACCTACTCGAAAAAGGAGTTAAACTGTGTTAATGTCCTTTAGACAATGCTATCCCACTATTGAGGAGTAGGTAGCATCCTCGTTGGAGTTTTCGGGTCAATTCGATTAAGGGACGTGTGGTCACTAAAGCAATGTTAGGACGCCTTAGTAGTAACCCTAATGTCTTAGATCATTTTTCCGAGGCAACCGTTTCGAGGCAACTATGATCTTTGGACAAGAGGGCGACCTCTAAAACTTCCTATACTCAATGACCACGTTCGAGGCAACCAAGTGAGGCGTACCCTAAGAGTGGCATGTGCAAGTGTGTTATTTCGATTAATTTTATCTGTACATGTTATGGGTGAGCTATATTGATTTTAAGTTCATACATTGGATCTTGTCATGCATTCCCTATTATCAGACATCTAACAGTTAATATTGTGCAGAAATTAAATTGCGGGAAATTAAATCTAAGCTATTACAAGGCGTCGGGTATTTACATCGCCAAAAACAAACCCTTTAATTTAAATTGCGGAAAATAAAAGAAAGCGATAAATAAATAAAGTCCTAATTAAAAGCTATTACATACTAGAAGCAATTACAATATTAGAAATAAATAGATCGCGTGCGAAAAATTAAGACGGCGCATTTTTAGAGTTTTGACCTTTTTTTATTAAAGAAAGCATATTTTTTATTATTCTGAATTAAATGGAAATTAAATCTAAGTTAATTAATTAATTAAATTAAAAAAATATTTTTTTTGGGTTTTAGAATATCTAAGGAAACAAAATTAAAATTGATTTAAAATTATTAAAACCTAATATTCTAAAGTACTTTTAATTTATTGCAAAAAGGGTTTAAATTATGCCTAATTAAACTAAGTTAATTAAATTATTATTTAATTACAAAAATAAAATAATGAAATTAATGAAAATATTTTTGTTTTCAATTTTTTATGAAGAAAAATATTATTTTGGTTAGCTTTAAATAATAAAAACAAATAATAAAACAAATAAAATAAGAAAAATATAGAAAGAGAGAGATAACCCAATGGGGGTGTGGGCCTGAATCTGGGTGTATGTTTGGCAATTCTGAGGCCCAAAATGCTCCAGCCTGCTTTGACCTTTTAGATCACCCACGCGTATGTTAACCTAGATGTATGGTGAACCTTCAATCCTGGCCTTTGGATTTGGCTTGAAGGCCATCTGGCATTTGAGATCATAAGGAACATGATGGTCCACGCTTGCTGAAACCACACGCGATTGCCTGAAGAAAAATAAGACAAATATATTGGGGGACCTGGGATTCGAACCCATGTCCCATTGCTCAAATGCCAACGCGCTCACCAACCCAACCAAACTGCTTATTTGTTAGAATAATAACCACAAAATAATATATGTGAAAACAAATACTATGCCTGAAAAATAAAAAACAAGCGCGAAATTATGAATGACCCTATAAGGAAGAGGCACGTGGTCGTCTTCTTCCTTGAATAGCCTGGTTATTTACCTGCGGATTTCATCCGCAGCTAAATCCATGACTCACTTCTAAAACAAATTCCTGGCCATAAAAATGCAAACTAAAACCACCAATATGTTCGTCTCTTCCTCCTGGTTTCATCCATGTCCAGTATTGGCCTTGATTTTCCCTGCAACTAAAAACCCCAAAAACAATAAGCACGAACCCTAGATTTGGGCATGGCGTTATAAGCTATGAAAATAAAATCAAATAGTGCAGAAAGCTTCGAAATCAAACAAGGATCAAGAATATGTCC